CGCTACCGCCCCCGCCCGCGGACCCCGCGCCAACCACCCCGAAATGTGTCGCGGTACTATAACGCCGATAAAGAGACGGCGCGGTATTGTAACACAGATGCATCATTTTTAAAGAAAAAAATATATAAATATTCCTACCTTTTCTCCACAACTCCGCCTCTTCCTCTTTCACCCTCTTCCTCCTTCACCCTCGTCTTCTCTATTCGTCAGCTTCTTCTTGCACTTCCTCTTCTTCCTGCTGAGAAGCGAGGAAGTGCAAAAAATACTGGAACTCGTGAGACATGTTGAGGACGTCTACCATAAATTGCTGACACTCTTCATGAGTAACATTATTAATGTCGAATGGCAGAAGACCGCCTGCATCCTGCTGCTCCTCAGCAGCGTCACCATCGTTGACTTCGACGAGGGCTTCCTCATCGGGGGGAGCGTCACCCTCGTCGACCTCGATGAGGAAGCCCTCGTCGAGGACGTCCTCCTCGTCGAGGACGTCTTCAACGAGGACATCCTCCCCGTTGATGGCATCATCTTCGGCGAGGACATCCTCCTCGTCGAGGACGTCCTCTATATCGAGCTTTATTTTTTTTTTTAGATGGTGGCTCGTATTGCTTCATTTTTCACAAGTTTTTTTTTCACAAGTTTTTTTTTCACAAGTTTTTTCACAAGTGTTTTACAAGTTTTTTACAACTTTTTTCAGAAGTTTTTTTTTTCACAAGTTTTTTCACAAGTTTTTACAAGTTTTTTTCTACGCTGCACTATAAATTATTACTTTTACTTAACCACATAATGTGTAAAAGTATTCCACCATTTCACGTTAATACGTGGAATACTTTTACACATTTTACAAAAGAGAAGAAAAAAATTACTCACGTTCAAATACTTTCGCACGCGAACAAAGACTGACGCCGAGATGCATCCTTCCTGCAGCGAGCCTACCCGGGCCTTATCTATAGGCGATAGTTGTATAGAAAACAATTTAGATCAAAAGTGCCGTCACGAGAAAAGCTATCGCTTATATATCATTGCGGTACTCTTTATAATATAGCCTAAAGATCGCAATGCATTGCAACGTTGCTAAGTAGTGCGCATAATGATATAAAATAAAAAATCAATTTTAACCTACGAATTGCGCGCGTTTATTTTCACACCTGTTATTCCATTTTTTTTCTTTTTTTTCCATATACATACGTTTATACATACATACATACATACATACATACGTTTATACGTTCATACATACATACACATATATATGATTCGTGACACGACGCATAAGAACAGCGTCCACAGATGTTTACATAAACCAAGTGTGAGAGCACGTCGAGGCATAGGATGGATGGATGGAAGGAAAGCAAAGAAAATACATATATATTTTATGTGAACGACAAAATTTTTATTCACATA